CTTTTAAACTGACAGATAGTGATAAGAGATATTATGAATTATGAAAGTCAAAAATTAGGTAATTGTGGTGAAATGATATGGACAAGTATCAACAAAAATTCCTTTCCAAAATTTACATGAGATAGAAAAATTGAATCATCCTATATCAATTAATAATTAATATCAAGTTAATAGAATCCATAATTGAAAACTTTCTTCAAAGAAAACTAGCCCAAGAAAGCTTCATTGGTGATTTTTATGGAAAATACATATGGCAAAAGTAACAGCAATACCAGTGATGCCACTCTTGTACACTCTTCCAAAGGACTGAAAACAAATAACACACATACCCCACCTGGAAAAAAACAAAATGAAAAGGAAGTGTCTTCCATCTGCTGGTTCACTCCCCAAATGACCACAGTGACTGGGGCTGGATCAGGTTACACCAGGAGCCCAGGATCATCTGGGTCTCCCAAGCAGATACTGGGGCCCAAAGACTGGGCCATCTACGACTACTTTCCTCGGCCACAGCAGAGAGCTGGATTGGAAGTGGAGCAGCCAGGTCTGAAACCAGAGCCCATATGGGATGCCGACACTGCAGGAGGCGGCTTCATTTGCCACAGCACATTTTTTTTTTTTTTTAAAGATTGATTTATTTATTTGAAAGTCAGAGTTACAGAGAGGAAAGGCAGAGAGAGAGAGAGAGAGAGAGAGAGAGAGAGAGAGGAGAGAGACACTTCTATCTGGTTCACTCCCCAGTTGGCCACAATGGCCAGAACTGTGCCATCCGAAGCCAGGAGCCAAGAGCTTCTGGGTCTCCCACGTGGGGTGCAGGAGCCCAGGACCGGGCCATTTCTACTGCTTTCCCACGGCCATAGCAGAGAGCTGGATCAGAAGAGGAGCAGCCAGGACTAGAACTGGTGCCCATATGGGATGCTGGCGCTTCAGGCCAGGGTATTAACCACTGCGCCACAGAGCCGGCCCCTGGAACTACTTTTTGAGACTGAGTCTTCTGGTCTACAGCCTGTACACAAGTTCCAGATATTTTTGGGCATGTCTTTCGTTTGAACTTTTCCTCCAAATGAAATTCAGGGAGTGGAAGGAATGAAGTACTGGGTAAGTTTTTGGAAGTCTACCCAACATTAGAACCAATCTCATGCTTTCAGACCCTAGAGTACCTCCCCTCACCAATGATAAGCAACACCTATAGGAGTTCCTGGCACATAGTAGGTGTCAAATAAATTTGCTCACAAGAAAGATGTTTCTCATTTTTATGTAATAATTACTAATTATGTAAATAATTACGTAAATAATTACTAATTAAGAAAAAACTTACACGCACAGAAAAGTCAAACAAAAAGCACCTGATAGTCACCAACCCTGAAACAACCATCATTAAGTTTCCAGAGACTACTTCATTTTCTCTTCAAAGGTCACATAATATAGAATATTACATACAGTTTTATATACCATATGCTACATTTGCTGTTCTATTTTTCCAGTCTCCCCTCTTCCCTTCTCCCCACATCTCTTCTCCCTCAAGGTAACCAGTATTGATATCTGGTGTATAGTCTTCCATTCCTCTCTCCACGCACATCCAATCATATATAACAGAAGTACATAATACATGGTGTGATCATTAACAAAGACGAAACCTTGTGTATATACATTCCTGCTATAAAGTAATCATTTACTACAACATTGTGGAACTATCATGAAGTTCTCCCATACAGACAGAACCCTCATGCGACTTCAAAATAAGGATTTATCACAATTTATCTAGTAATGAGTGCTTACTGTTTCCAAATGGGGCTTTTCTCCCTCTCCTCTAAACAATACTTCAGCAAACACTTTATTTGTATTCTTATGCATTGATATTATATTCCATGAGAAAAAAATTTCCAAAATACATCTTCTAGGTCAAAGGATAAATGCATGTATTTATTTTATTATTTATTTTTGACAGGCAGAGTGGACAGTGAGAGAGAGAGACAGAGAGAAAGGTCTTCCTTTGCCGTTGGTTCACCTCCAATGGCTGTCGCGGCCGGCGCACCGTGCTGATCCGATGGCAGGAGCCAGGTACTATCCTGGTCTCCCATGGGGTGCAGGGCCCAAGCCTGGGCCATCCTCCACTGCACTCCCTGGCCACAGAAGAGAGCTGGCCTGGAAGAGGGGCAACCGGGACAGAATCCGGCGCCCCGACGGGACTAGAACCCGGGTGGCCGGCGCCACAAGGCAGAGAATTAGCGTAGTGAGCCGTGGCGCCGGCCTGCATATTTTAAATAGTATGCATTGCTGGACTGCTGGTACAAATACAAGCTAGAACATTTAGATAAGAATACATGGTTATTTGTATGGGCTGCTCCTTAATTTTATGAAAACTCTTAGGGGCTGATGCTGTGGTGCACTAGGTTACTCCTCTTCCTGTGGTGCTGCTCCAACTCCAATCCAGCTCTCTGCTGTGGCCTGGGAAAGCAGTGGAAGATGGCCCAAGTCCTTGGGCTCCCGCACCCACGTGGGAGACCCAAAAGAAGCTCCTGGCTCCTGATCGGCTCAGCTCCGGCCACTGTGACCATTTGGGGAGTGAACCAGTGGATGGAAGACCTCTCTGTGTGTGTCTATTTCTCTCTGTAACTCTTTCAAATAAATAAATAAAAAAAAACCCCACAAACACTTTGACATTTAAATATGCCATCTCCCAAAATAAACCAAAGTTCCTCACAAACAAGCAAAAAAAATATACACATGTCCCCAAGCCCATTAGCAACAGATTTCTTAATTTTTTCCATCTCCATGAGTGGAAGCTTGATCTCATTGGTAGTTTAGTCTGTGTTTCCCTGAGTACTACTTAGGTTCAAATCTTCTCACAGGTTAATGGCCATTTGGAGTAGCTCTTCCATGAACAGCTCTCCTAGTCTAGGTGGATTAAAGATTTAAATGTAAAAAAGAAAAAAATCAAACTTAGAACTATGTATAACCTAGGAAATCAAGGAGATCCTTTTTAAATAAAAGTGAATCAAATCTAAAAAGGAAGAGATGAATTTTATTAAAAATTAAATGTGACTTCATTGACAGGTATAAAGACAAATGCTAGATTAAGAAGAAAGATTTGCTACACATAAGATTAATCTCAAAAATACACAGAGTACTCCCAGTCTTATAGGAAAGGCAGATAAACCAAGAGAAAAAAAAGTCAAATGCACGTACAGGCAACTGAAGGTATCTGTTGGATGAGAAAATGATGAAATTAGAATGAAGGTTTTCATTTGTCCATTATTTTCCTCTAGTGTGAATTTTCTCAAAGTTTCTAAAATTTAGTATGGTTAAATGCCTCTCCACAATTCAATGTATTTATAGAGTGTCTCTCCAGTATTTTCTGGTGAATTCCTCAGGTTCCTTTGTGGAGTTGGCATCTGACTAAATGACTTATTGTCTTCTACATTAAGTGAATTTCTCTCTGATGTATCCTTGATGGACGGTGAGGCTTGAGCTGCTCCGGAAAGCTTTTCCGCACTCGTTGCATTTGTAGGGTTTTTCTCCAGTGTGCATCCTCAGGTGTACGGTGAAGTCCGAGTTAGTTCTGAAGGCTTTCCCACATTCTTCACATTTATAGGGCCTCTCCCCAGTGTGAATTCTCTGGTGCAGAGTTAGCTGTGACAGAGTAATACAACCTTTCCCGCAGTCCTTACGGTAGGGTTTTTCTCCAGTGTGTGTTCTCCAGTGCACTGTAAGGTAGGAACCCTCCTGAAGGCTTTTCCACAGACATCACACTTATAGGGCTTCTCCCCACTGTGGATTTTCTGATGTTCTGTGACATACCATCTGGCTAAATGCTTTCCCACAGTCATTACATTTAAATGGCTTCTCTCCAGTATGTGTTCTTTGATGGGTATTAAAGCCTGAATTACTTGTGAAAACCTTCCCACATTCATTACATTTATAAGGCTTCTCTCCAGTGTGCCTCCTTTGATGCACAGTAAGCTGTGATGTATTAGTGAAAGCTTTCTCACAGTCATTGCATTTATATGTTTTTCTCCAGTGTGGGTCCTTTGATGTACAATCAGGTAGGACTTAGTCCTGAATGACTTTCCACAGTCGTAACATGTAAATGGTTTCACTCCAGTATGGATTTTCTGATGCTCCTTGAGATTCACCATTTTGGTGAATGCTCTCTCACAGTCAGCGCATTTGTATGGTTTCTCTCCAGTATGAATTCCTCTGATGTACAGTTAAGTGTGACTTATTCTGAAAGACTCCCCACATTCATTACACAGATAAGGTTTCTCTTCAGTGTGAATACGCTGATGTATGATTAGCGATGAGGAACGCATGAAGGCCTTTCCACATCATTACATTTATAGGTTTCTCTCCTGTATGCATTCTGTGGTGTACGGTAAGGGCATGAATAATTAATGAACGCTTTCCCACATTCACTGCATTTATAGGGTTTTTCTCCGGTGTGGATTCTCTGATGTTCTGTGAAGTTGCTATGCGGTTGAATGCTTTCCCATTCAGTACATTCGTAGGGCTTTTCCCCAGTGTGAGTTCTGATATGTACAATAAGGCTAGAGTTACTTCTATAGGCTTTCCCACACTCATTACATCTGAAGGGCTTTTCTCCAGTATGAATTCTCTGATGAACATTAAAAATTGTGTATTCTTGAAAGATTTCCCACACTCAGTGCACTTATATGGTTTCTCCTCAGTATGGGTCTTCTGATGTACACTAAGATACGACTTATTCCTAAAGGCTTTCCCACAATCACTACATTGTAGGTTTCTCCCCGTTGTGAGTTCCTGATGTCTTCCAGTTTTGACTTATCACTAAACGCTTTCCCACACTCACTGCATTTATAGGGTTTCTCTCCAGTCTGGATTCTCTGGTGCTGATTAAGGCGGGCACACTGGCTAAAGGATTTTCCACAGACATTGCATTGATAAGGTTTCTCTTTAGTATGGATTCTCTGGTGTACCATAAGTGACGAAGAAGCAATGAAGGCTTTTTCCACATTCATTACAATTTATAGGGTTTTTCTCCAGTGTGAATTTTTTTATGCTGACTAAGATACGAGGGCTGGCTGAATGTTTTCCCACACTCACTACATTCATAAGGTTTTTCTTTAGTGTGCGTTCTCTGATGTTGAATGAGTAATGACCTATAGCGAAAGGCTTTTTCACATGTGCCACATTTATAGGGTTTTTCTTTATTATTTGATTCTCCCTCAGAGTGAGTTCTGAAGTCTGCTTTGTGGATTTGCTGCCTTCTGGATCCTTGCCAATTATCTTCCCCAAGTGGATATCTGTAATCAAATCTGAATTTTTTGTGAAACCTTCCTCTTGTGTTGGAATTTTCTGTGGAGCTCTTCTGTGACAACTTTTTGTTCTGGAAAAAGAACAGATCCAAATCTAAAGCCTCTTTTGACCAGTGGGCATTTTCTTGTGTGTAACAATCTTTTGACTCAAGTGATTCTCCTGACTATTTTGCAGTCTCAAAATCCTGTTATTCCATGTCCATAATCTTCCCATTCTGGAATCCCATAGGCCATTTTTTGTGAGTTTCTCTACTATGGCCTCCTGTGATAAATCTTCAGAAGTATCCTCTGTTAGTATAGCATTCCTGGTTGCAAGTTTAGTTTCCAAGTCTAGGGAGGGAAAAAGAGAAAAATCAAATAACTTCTTCTTCCTAAGTTGAGGAAATCTCACTAAATGGGATAATTCATGTGAAAAATGACTGGTAAATGAACATTTGGTTTTAAATGCTACAAATTGACCTTATTTTCTAGGAAGAAAAAGGTAAGATTAAGGGAAGGTGGTTGAGCAAATAATCAAAGTGGCACATTCAATGATATTTTCTCCTATTAAAAAAAAATCCATGAGCAGGCATTTAGCTTAGCAGTTAAGATGCTGGTTAAGATACCCACATCCCACATCAGAGTACCTGCATTTGACACCTGGCTCCAGCTTCCGCCTCATGCAGACCCTAGAGGCAGTGGTGATGGGAGACCAATGCCTGAGAATTCTCCATGAAATGCGTGAGGCTAAATAGTTAAGAATTTTTAATAGACTCATATGGAAAGACAGATTTGAATTTAGGGTGACCAAAGGGATCATCCATGGGACTCATAGGATTTGCCTGGAACTTCAAGGTGATATGCTTTAAGGACAGGATGAATTAAAAAACAGACCAGGTTCTTCAAGGAATAATCAGCTCAGTTAAATTTCCAATTGAATCAAGGTAGCTGAGGATTGTCAGAGCTCCTAATACAGCAGCCCATCAAAAGCAAGTATTAATCCTTGGTGGGAAAAAGATTATATACTATACAATTTCAAATTACTGCTATAGGTTTTAATAGCCAATTCTTTTTTTTTTTTTTAAAGATTTATTTATTTCTTTGAAAGGCAGAGTTACAGAGAGAGGTAGAGACAGAGAGAGAGGTCTTCCATCCACTGGTTCACTCCCTAGAGGGCCGCAACGGCCGGAGCTGCGCTGATCTGAAGCCAGGAGCCAGAAGCTTCTTCCGGGTCTCCCACATGGGTGCAGGGACCCAAGTACTTGGGCCATCCTCTATTGCTTTACCAGGCCTTAGCGGAGAGTTAGATCAGAAGTAGAGCAGCCAGGACTCGAAATGGCGCCCATATGGGATACTGGCACTGCAGGTAGTGGCTTTACCTGCTGTGCCACAGCGCCAGCCCCTAATAGCCAATTTTTGACAACCAAAACTAATAGGCATACACAAGTAGACAAAGGTCATGTGAGAAAAAAAATCAGAAAGAGAAAACAGGAACAGATCTAAAAATTAATCCATATATTTTAAAATGACCATAACTTTAAAATTAATCTATACAATTGTTTATTTTTTAAAAGATTTACTTTATTTACTTGAAAGGCAGTGTCAGGGAGGGGGAGAGAGAGAGAGAGAGAGACTGAGTGAGATCTTCCATCAACTGTTTCACTCTCCAAATGGCCTCAATGGCCAGGGCTGGGCCACAATGAACCCAGGAATCAGAAGCTTCAACTAGGTCTTCCATGTGGGTGTGGGGCCCAAGGACTTGGCCATCCTCTGCTGCTTTCCCAGGCACATTAGCAGAGATCTGGACTGGAAGTGGAGCAGCTGGGACTTGACTCGCGTCCATATGGGATGCCAGCACTGCGGGAGGCACTTACACCCATTATGCCACAACACTGACTCCAATCCATAAACTTTAAAATAACCATAACAATGTTAGGTAGGAAGGCAGAAATTTAGCCTATGAGTGTGTGAGAAAGACCAGCACCTACTTCGGAAGCTCCAGAAGCCCAGCATCTTGCACTTCAAAGTCCTGCTCAGACCCTGATGACCTCCCACGTGGTCCCGGCCCCTCCCCCAAGGAAAGCTCCCAGAATTCTCTCTCCAGGCCCAAATGGGTTACCTGATAACATGGGGCAATAAAACCTTCTCAGCCGCCTTAAGGGAAGTTCCTCTACTCTGTCCCAGCACCAGCAAATCCAGCAAGGAATTTGCTAATTTTCACCCAACAAACCCTTCTGTCAGGACTCCCCATCCTTTGTCCTGGAGGAGAGGGAAGGTGGGTAAACAGACTCCCTTAAAAACCTAGGGAGTCCAAACAGACTGTGCGCTCAGTCCTCTGCCTCTCTGCTGAGCCACCCACCTGGCCTGCCCAGGTGTATTCTCTCCATTCAACCATGTAACCTTGCTCTACCCCAGTCCGAGGGACTGGGCACTCTATCTGTCCCTTCCATTCTGAGGAATGCCCTAACCCCAATAAAACTGTTAGGTAGGAAGTCAGATATGAGCTTACATGTGTGTGACAAAGGCCTAAGGAGACATTTGGGTGCAGCATATGCATCTCAAAGTCATCCCGATAACGTTTCAGGGGCAGCCCAGTAGTTGCATCCTGCCCTGCCCCTTCTACCCAATAACCTGCCAGGTGGGGGTCCTCACCCTTTCTGCCTGATAATCTTCCAGGTGCAGCCCAGTATCTGTACTTCAAATGTGCCCAGCCCCTTCTACTCCATAACCATCCTTCCTCTAAGGCTCCTCTAAGGCGGGGCAAGGCCAGTCAGGCTTCCCCCTGTCTGATAACTTCATGGGGAAAACTGAGATAGGAGTTTTTTCTATTTACATCCAAAAAGTCCTTCGTTCTAAGAGGAGCAGAGGCAGGAGGGCAAGGCCCATCCCCTTAAAAACCTCCAGCCTCAACCGGACTGCGTGCTCAGCCCTCTGCCTCTGCTGAGCCACCTGCCTGGCCTGGTCAGGTGTATTCTCCACTCAACCATGTAACCTCACTCTTCCCCCAGTCCGAGCGACTGGGCACTCTCCGTCAGGTTCTGTCTGGAGAGGTGCTTGTCCATTCTTATGGATGTCCCTACCCTAATAAACCTTGCTATTTTACTTTCCACTACTCTTTCTTGTGTGGAGACAAGAACCCTGCCATCTACCAGTAACAAAACTTTATCACTTTGCTCTCTCTCTCATGCCTGAATTCTTTCTTGCATGAAGACAAGAACCCCACAGCTTCCATGGCCTTTTCTCTACTGACAATAATATTCAAGAACATTAAGAAAATATTAATAATTTCATCAAACAATTATAAAGCACAGGGGCCACGCCTGGGAAGGCAGTGGAGGATTGCCTGGGTGCTTGGGCCTCTGTCATCTATCTGGGAGAGCGGGAAGGAATTCCTGGCTCCTGGCTTTGGCGTGACCCAGACCTATTTGTTGCAGCCACTTGGGGAGTGAACCAGCAGATGAAGATCTCTCTGTCTCTCCCTCCCTGTTATTCATCTTTTCAAAACAAGTAAAAAATCTTAAAAAAAAAAAAAAAGAACTATAAAATATAAAATAAAAACCAAATGGAGGGGCTGGCGCTGTGACACAGCGGGTTAAAGCCCTGTCCTACAGCACCAGCATCCCATATAAGCACTGGTTCGAGTTCTAGCTGCTCTGTTTCAGATCCGGCTCCCTGCTAATGCACCTGGGAAGGCAGCAGAAGATGGCCCAAGTGCTTGGGTCCCTGCACCCATGTGGAGACCCAGAAGAAACTCCTGGTTCCTGCCTTTGGACAGGCCCAGCCCCAGTCATTGAAGCCACTTGGGGAGTGAACCAGCAGATTGAAGATCTTCCTCTCTCTCTGTAACTCTGCCTTTTAGATAGATAAATATTTTATTTTTTAAAGATTTATTTATTTAAAAGAGTTACACAGAGAGAGAAGGAGAGGCAGAGAAGAGAGAGAGGTCTTCCATCCACTGGCTCACTCCCCAATTGGCCACAACAACTGGAACTGTGCTGATCCGAAGCCAGGAGCTCCTTCCGGGTCTCCTACGTGGGTGCAGGGGCCTAAGGACTTGGGCCATCTTCTACTGCTATCTCAGGCCATAGCAGAGAGCTGGATCAGAAGTGGAGCTGCTGGGACTCGAACCGGTGCCCATATGGGATGCTGGCATTGCAGGCAGCAGCTTTACCTGCTACGCCATAGCGCTGGCCCCAGATAAATATTAAAAAAAAACCATATGAAGTCACTGGTGCCGCCGTAGCTCAATAGGCTAATCCTCCACCTGTGGCGCCGGCACCCCGGGTTCCAGTCCCAGTCGGGGCGCTGGATTCTGTCCTGGTTGCCCCTCTTCCAGGCCAGCTCTCTGCTGTGGCCCGGGAGTGCAGTGGAGGATGGCCCAAGTGCTTGGGCCCTGCATTCAAATGGGATACCAGGAGAAGCACCTGGCTCCTGGATTGGGATCAGTGCGGTGCGCCGGCCACAGCGGCCATTGGGGGGTGAACCAATGGCAAAAGGAAGACCTTTCTCTCTCTCACTGTCCACTCTGCCTGTCAAAAAAAAAAAAAAAAAATATGAAGACTATGGGAAATACAGATTAAGAAAAAGCAATTTATGGATCTCAAAAAATTTTTACACCAAAATAAGCTTATCTTTTAAAATATCCACAAAAAATTAAGGTCAAATAAAGACCTTTTGTGGCAACAAACAAACAAAAAATCCAACCAAACCAAACCAAACCAAAGGAAAGTCTTTGACAGAAGCAAACCTGAATAGAAGGAAATGAGTGTTCATTATCCCAGATAAGGCTCAGAAATGAAGAAAAAAGTAGACATAAAGAAACAATAGAGGGCTGGCGCAGTGGCTCATTAAGCTAATTCTCCACCTGTGGTGCTAGCACCCTGGGTTCTAGTCCTGGCTGGGGCACCGCATTCTGTCCCGGTGCCTCTTCCAGTCCAGCTCTCTGCTGTGGCCCAGGTGTGCAGCGGAAGATGGCCCAAGTGCTTGGGCGCCTGCACCCGCGTAGGAGACCAGGAAGAAGCTCCTGGCTCCGGATCAGCGTAGCTCCAGCCGTGGTGGCCATTTGGGGGGTGAACCAATGGAAGGAAGACCTTTCTCTCTGTCTCTCCCTCTCCCTGTCTGTAACTCTGTCAAATAAATAAATAAATAAATAAATAATGTCCCCTCTCCAGAAGCCGCCGCTGTCCACCTGATCTGAGGGAAATACTTTCACCCCATCCCAGTTACTCTTTCATATTCTCCAGCTTGTCTCAAAAGAAAAAGGCATTAAGTGCTGGCAAAGTGGGTACTGCATTTTCATTCTCAACTGATTCATTCTTGTTTATACTCTCGATTAGTTAAAGAACTGGAGGGAAGAAAGCTCCCCTCAACGTTTCAGCAGGCTTGCAAGTAAAAAAATTAAACCATAAGTTTTAGTTTGAAATAGGTTTAGCTTAAAAGAAATAGGTTTAGCTTAAAAGAAATAAGGTTAGCATAAGAAAGTATTTTTAGGAAATGAAGGAAGGCCAGATAATGGTGAAACAAATAAGAAAAACAGAATTAATTGGAAAAGATAAAGTGACAGGGACATTTTGTGCATGTTCTAATAAAAAGGAAGAAAAAATTCTGAAAATTAAGAAAGCAGAGTAGGAGGGGATAGGAAACCAAAAGTAGTGAATAGAGAGAGGAGAGGCAGAGAGGAATAGGATGGGGCAGGGTGGGGGGAGATTTTTTCCTTTAAGACAACATAGAACAGAGGTACCCCCCAAAATATTTCAGATATTCCACTGAACATTCCCCAATGATATTATTTGAAATAAAACTTTTTTCTTGATTCTGATTAATTTACCTGGATAGGGGCCTCTTGAAATTTCTCTCACCACTGCCCAGGGTCCTTTTCCATTCTCCAAATGAGATATCATATCTGGTTTGGAAACTGCAAGCCCTGTTCAAAAATAAACAAACAGGATTTGATTGATGTTGTGAGAACTACTGACAAATTCAGTCTCAGTTCTCAATGTTCCATGTAGAGTGGCTATTATAGGAAGATACAGAGCTGCACTATCCAATACAGTGGCTAATAGCAACGCATGGCAGGTTAAACTGGACTTTAAATTAAATAAAATTTAAAAATCAGTTCTTTAGGTGGAGCAAATTTGAACTGCTCAAAAGTCAGAAGTGGCTCGAATGTGCTATATAGGCTAGCAGAGATACAGATTTCTTTTTTTTTTTTTAATTTCTTTTTATTTATTTGAGTGGCAGAGTTACAGAGAGAGGGAAAGACAGAGAAAGAGGTCTTCCATACGCTGGTTCATTTCCTAAATCGCTGTAATGGCCTGAGTTGAGCTGATCCAAAGCTAGGAGTCAGGAGCTTCTTCCAGGTCTCCCACGCAGGTGCAGAGCCTAAGGACTTGGGCCATCTTCCATTGCTTTCCCAGGCCATAGCAAAGAGCTGGATCAGAAGAGGAGCAGCAGGTACATGAACTAGCATCCATATGGAATGCCAGCACAATAGGTGGAGGCTTAGAGCCTACTATGTCACAGCGTTGGTCCCCAAATTTCTATCATAGCAGAACATTCTATTGTACAGTAACAACCTAGATAATTATAAAGGTATTTATCTCAAGGGAGCTTAATACTATGGTTTCATGGGATAATGGATTACAGGGATAACTCGAATTTAAAAACAAAATGGGGGGCAGCACTGTGTCATAGTGGGTAAAGCTGCTGCCCACAGTGCCGGCATCCCATATGGGCACTGGTTCAGATCCTGGCTGTTCTACTTCTGATCCAGCTCTCTGCTGTGGCCTGGGAAAGCAGTGGAGGAAGGCCCAAGTCCTTGGGACCCTGTACCCACACTGGAGACCTGGAGGAAGCTCTTGGCTCCTTGCTTTGGATTGGTGCCGCTACGCCCATTGCAGCCAACTGGGGAGTGAATCAGCAGATGGAGGACCCCTCTCTCCCTCTGCCTCTTTGGAATTCTTATTTTCAAATAAATAAATAAACATTTTTTTAAAAACTCAGGGTAGGTGTTTGGCACAGTGGTCAAGATACTGCTTGGGACACCCACAACCCATATCAGAGGCCTGGGTTTGAATTCTGTCTCCATTTCCAATGTACACCCTGGGAAGTAACAGGTGATGGCTCAAGTAGTTGGGTCCCTGCCATCCATGTGGGAGACCTAGGCTGAGTTCTGGAATCCTGGCTTCAGCTTGGTCCAGCTCTGGCTGTGAGACATCTGGAGAGTGAGACAGTAGATGGAAGACTTCTTTCCCTCTCACTCATTCTATTTTTCAAATTAATTATTAATTGAAAAGAAAATGAACACATTTGTTTCTTTTCTTTCTAGAAGCACTGATAATTCCCTTATGGAACAGATGAGAATAAACTTTGGAACTAGATTCCAACAGAACATATGAAAAGGCTTCAAAAAGTTCATAAATAAATGGAATTAAAAGACACAAAAAATAAAATGTTATTTCTCAACATGAACTTACAAGTTGAAGATACTTGTAAACAATGATACCTGGCGCCGCGGCTCAATAGGCTAATCCTCCGCCTGCACACCGGGTTCTAGTCCCAGTCGGGGCACCAGATTCTGTCCCGGTTGCCCCTCTTCCAGGCCAGCTCTCTGCTGTGGCCCGGGAGTGCAGTGGAGGATGGCCCAAGTGCTTGGGTCCCTGCACCTGCATGGGAGACCATGAGGGAAGCACCTGGCTCCTGGCTTTGGATCAGTGCGGTGCACCGGCCACAGCGGCCACTGCGGGGTGAACCAACAGCAAAGGAATACCTTTCTCTCTGTCTCTCTCTCACTGTTCACTCTGCCTGTCAAAAACAAAAACAAAAACAAAAACGAAAACAAAATGATACCAGCCACTTAGTCCAACATGAAAGAACTGAGGGCTCTGGGATTTTAACCATATCACTATAGCTTAACTGAAGAAAAATGGGCACTCTAAAAATCTTTTAAGATTAGGAAACAAACAAAAACACATCAGATAGGCCGGCGCCGTGGCTCAATAGGCTAATCCTCCACCTTGCGGTGCCAGCACACCAGGTTCTAGTCTCGGTCGGGGCACCGGATTCTGTCCCGGTTGCCCCTCTTCCAGGCCAGCTCTCTGCTGTGGCCAAGGGAGTGCAGTGGAGGATGGCCCAAGTCCTTGGGCCCTGCACCCCATGGAGACCAGGATAAGTACCTGGCTCCTGGCTTCGGATCAGCGCGATGCACCGGCCGCGGCGGCCATTGGAGGGTGAACCAACGGCAAAAGGAAGAACTTTCTCTCTCTCTCTCTCTCTGTGTCCACTCTGCCTGTCAAAACAAAACACGTCAGAAGGAGCTGTAAGGTGGAAGCCTGATCATTTCCCTACACACACTCACAAAACCGCCCTTGTTAGACGAGCAGGATGAGGAGGAGCATTACTGTGGTGAAGGACACTCCAGGAAAGCTTTCCCGCGTGGTTTTTCGGCTGAGCTTTGACCAACTTTCTCAAAAACACTCTATAAGCAGATGTCATTGTTCTTTAGCCTTTCAGAAAGTCAACAAGCAAAATGCCTTACACATCCCCAAATCCGGCTGCCATGCCCTTTGCTCTGACGAGACCACTTCCACCTTCAGTAGTCGTTGCTTTGTCTGTGCTCTGTCTTCTGGATCACACTGGTAAAGCCATGTTTCGTCGCCCCTGACAATTCTCGAAAGAAATGATCTTGATGCAGTTTTACAATTTTCTGTGGTAACCTCTGCTCTTATCTGGGGCTGATCTGGGGATCGAGCGGAAAGTCTGCTCCACTTTTTCAGTCAGAGCTGAGCAGACAGAGGCAACTGGGATGTTTAGGGCTGGCTACTGTTTGTGCTACTGTCAGTCCTCTGTAATTAAAGCACAAGCAAGATTAATTTTTCCCTTGAAAATTGTCATGGATTGTCTGCTGCTAATGTGTTCATCTTTAACATCACCCTGCTGCTTCTTAAAATGAGTTTTCTATTTGTAAACTGATTTCTCTGGAGGCACTGTCCCCGAAAAATTTCCTTTCTTTTTTTTAATTTTATTTATTTATTTGAGAGGGAGAGTCTCATACAGTGAGAGGAAGAGACAGAGAGAAAGGTTCCCTTTTGTTAGTTCACTTCCCAAATGACTGCAATGGCCAGAGCTGAGCCAATCAGAAGCCAGGAGCCAGAAGCTTCTATAGGGTTTCCTAGGCAGGTGCAGGGGCTCAAGGACTTGGGCCATCTGGACTGGAAGAGGGGCAGTGGGGACTAGAACCCGCACCCATATGGGATGCTGGCGTTGCAGGCGGAGGAGTAACCTACTGTGCCGTGGCGCCAGCCCCCTGAAAACTTCTCATAAGAATAAACGATTTCATCATTCTTCCACCCCATGCTTCATCATAAATATGATGTTTGTTTTGTTTCAATTTTAGCAGCATTTAGAATTCATGTGTTCTGTTAGGGTCTCCTTTCAAACTGATGTCTTATCCTCAAACTAGAACCTATTCAGACATGTTACAGCAAGTTAGTATGAGCTTATTTTGGTATAAAAATGTGAAATCCATGTAGTTTTTTTGTCACAATACACATTTCCATAAACTTTCTGAAGACCCCTTGCATTTGTTATTCTACAACAAGCAGATGATTTAGTTAAGAATGAAGAGCAGCACGATGACCAACAATGTTCTCCAAAGATTCAGAGTCTGACACCTAAACTCAAAACTAAAATTCAGTTAAGTACTTTAGAAGCTCTGTATCCTCAGTAAACTGGGTCAAGGGGGCAAACGTATCAACACAGAAGAGGAATTAACCTTACCCAGGGAGACAAGATTCCTGTAATTCTCTAGCATCACATCCTTGTGCAGGCTCCTCTGTGTAGGGTCCATCAGTCTCCATTCCTCCAATGTGAAGTCTATAGCCACATCTTTAAAAGTCAGTGACTCCTAGAATAAATAAATTGTGATCACCCAGAGACTATACTATCAACCCTGTTAGGCAGAATAACGTGTATAAAACTGGAGAAAAACTCCAGAAATTAGAATCACCAAATGATTAGGAATGCCAACTGCTTAATTCTTTTTATTTTTAAATTTTTGCCAGGCAGAGTTAGACAGTGAGAGAGAGAGACAGAGAATTACATACAGTGAGGCAGAGTTAGACAGTGAGAGAGAGGGACAGAGAAAAAGATCTTTCTTCCGTTGGTTCACCCCCCAAATGGCCGCTAAGGCTGGCGCTGCACCTATCAGAAGCCAGGAGCCAGGTGCTTCCTCCTGCACCCACATGGGGGTGAACCAACGGTAAAGGAAGACCTTTCTCTCTCTCTCTGTCTACTCTGCCTATCAAAAACAAAAACAAAAACAAAAAACAAAACAACAACAACAAAACACATAAATTTCAGACATTGTGCCAAAATTATCTTTTTTTTTTTTTTTTTGGACAGGCAGAGTGGACAGTGAGTGAGAGAGAGAGAGAGAGAGAGAGAAAGGTCTTCCTTTTGCCATTGGTTCACCCCACAATGGCTGCTGCGGCCGGCGCACCGCGCTGATCTGAAGCCAGGAGCCAGGTGCCTCTCCTGGTCTCCCATGCGGGTGCAGGGCCCAAGAACCTGGGCTATCCTCCACTGCCTTCCAGGGCCACAGCAGAGAGCTGGACTGGAAGAGGAGCAACCGGGACAGAATCTGGTCCCCCAACCGGGACTAGAACCCGGGGTGCCGGTGCTGCAGGCAGAGGATTAACCTAGTTAGCCGCGGAGCCAGCTGCTTAATCCTTATAGGACATATAAATTTCTCCAGTGATAAGAACTTAAAACCATAAGAGGAAGCCTATTCTATCTTTGGAGTTCCACCTGAGAGTAGTTTTACCAAACTAATTCAAATCTGGTTTTCTAGAAACTCTACATATTGCTCATACTATACTTTCTGGAGCCAAACAGCATGGCTTCTTCCTTCTCTAGAAAGTCTTTAAAATATTTGTTTATAGCTACTGGTTTCTACTCAAATAATCTGTTATCTCAGAAAACCCTGACTTATGTAAAAAAATCACCTTCTTTCAGTTCTAATCTGTAGAATATGGCTTAACAAAAGATACTGCATCAATCAGATCACAGATACAGACTGCTATAAGCTCTCTCTGAGACAGAAAAAACGCATGGGACTTGGGGGGGCAGTTCTTTGGTTAGGATATGAAATATGTACAAATGCTTGTATAAAGAATGGAAGAATGATGAACTACTGAGAGAAGGAGGAAACAGAGTAGAGAAGACTGAAATAGAACCTAGGCTCTTCTGAATACTTCTTGTTTTGTATACTTGACTTTTGAACTGTGGAAATATTTTATATTGTTTTAAAACAAGGATTAAACTTCAAGAAAGCAATCTCTAAACTTTAAAAGTAGAGTGCAACCAGCTGGAATAGCATATCCATTTATCAGAGAGGAACTATTCTGAGTGATTTTAAAACATAGTAATTTTCTGTACCTCTGAGTAAGAACCCCGAAACAAAGACAGTAACAAAAACAAGACATTTTCAGCAAGTAATCTTATTGGTGGTAGAAGTAGAAATGATATTCTGTAACTTTTGTGTGTGCAGTGCTGGAAAAAACAAATTAGCCTATCAGTGTTCCTAAAAACTAATCAATTTGGTATGAGAAAACGAAGATATAAAGAGGATATAAATGTAATACTGATGAGATTAGGTTAAAAACTCCATGGTTCTGAATTTGAAGTCTCAGTACCGACTCATGAAATATTTTATGTTCAAGGAAAGAACTAGCTTTAACAATATGAAGTAAGAATGCATTATGCTGGGGCTGGCATTGCAGAATAGCAGGTAGAGTCGCCATCTGCAGTGCTGGCGTCCCATATGGGCGCTGGTTCGAGTCCTGGCTGTGTCACTTCCGATCCAGCTCTCTGCTATGGCCTGGAAAAGCAACAGAAGATGGCCCAAGTCCTTGGGCCCCTGCACTCGTGTGGGCGACCAGAAGGAAGCTCCTGGCTCCTGGCTTCGGATTGGCCCAGCTCCGGCCATTGCAGCCAATTGGGGAGTGAACAGTGGATGGAAGACCTCTTTCTCTCTCTGCCTCTCCTTCTCTCTCTGTGTAACTCTGACTTTCAAATAAATAAATAAATCTTTAAAAAAAATTAATAACGATATGAACCTTAACCTCTGAAAATTAAAGATGCGTGTGACCAGGCTACGATATATTACAAAACCAACATAGTCGGAACTACTGATCAAGTGTTTCTTACAAAACTTCTATTTCAAAGTCACTGTTAAAACTGTTTTTTTTTAATCAGATTAATACCTATTCCAAACACATATACACTTAAATGTCTTTAGGTAAAATTAAAATATTCAGCATAACATCTAATTTCTAGTCTTGTCTTTTACAGCTTTCCAACTTGATTCAGTAGCTTAGTCACTGTTCACTACTTCAAAGTCTGCCCTTAAGCTCTCTTCTTACCAGGATACCCTCACAAATACTTTTTGACAAGTTAAATCCCACCTGTAATTGGGTACCAGCTTAAATCTATTCTCAAGAATTTCTGTTGACCACTAATGTCCCAACTGAAAGATTCTTTAAGAAAAAATCTATTTTTAATTTTTTAAAAAATTTATTGTTTATTTTATTTTAGCAGATATCTCCATCTGCTGGTTCATTCGCCAAGTGTTCCAACAACCAGGGCTGCACCAGGCTGGCGCCAAGAGCTGTGAATTCCACCTGGGTATCCTGTTTGAGTGGAAGGGAGTCAACTACTTGAGACATTACCTGCTGCCTCCCAGGGTGCACATCAGCAGGAAACTGGAATTGTGAACAGAGCCAGGACTTGAGCCTGGGCACTCCCATATGGGATGTGGGCATCCCAAGCAGTAGCTTATCTGTTCAGCCAAATACTTGCTCACTAATGTCCTATTTTCCCCACTATGTAGCACTGATTTTTAAATCATACTGCTAAGCAACAATTCACCTAAATATCATGTAACTATTTCTTTTGTATGCTTTACCCTCAGTGAGACTGTAAGCTCCCCACAGCCAAGTACTGTCCACATTTTTCTCTCCATTACCTGTTAAGTTTGATCACTTATTAATGGGTAGAAAAATGGACACCACTGAGAGTGGGCACAAAGCAAACAATTCCTAAAATTTCCTAAAATCTCCAAAATTTCCTAATTGAAAGATGTTCTATTCTACTACCCCTTAAGTAACTGAAATGTCCTGGGAACAATACAAATGAACATCAAAATTTAGATATAAGATGCCCTTTTGTATCTAAAAACAGACCAAAATTTTTGGAAAGATATTTGGTTCAGTATCAACAGTGAATCTTCTAATATATTGTATTTTACCATGATGAACCCAAATTTCTTATGTCAAACTGTTAGGTTCAGTTTCCAGAGAGGGTATTGGGTGAGGCAAAGTCCCAAACTTCAGGAGAAGTAGAATCCACGCAAATCAATACAGCAGGTTGGAAACAGAGGAAACCTTAACTTACCAGAGGTCCAATGGAAAAAACCACAGCAGCCATGATCTCTGCTTCTGTATTTCCCTCCCTGGAAAGAGTCGAGTTCGGCAAAGACATACCTGCAGAAGAGAGTGAGTCACACAGACCAATCTCACTTGGGAGTTTCAGATACAAGTGAGCATGACCTCCCTAAGGGAACACAAGAGTAATGTTCAAGATGAGAGAAGACCAAAGACTTTTGGTCCAAGAGATCTTGAAATCTGTTGTAATAATTATATTCTGTAATTGTTTTAAAAATTGATTCTAAAGGCAGTGGGGGGGAGGGGAGGGGGAGAGGGGAAGAGCAGGAGAGAGGAGGAGAGAGAGAGAGAGAGAGAGAGAGAGAGAGAGATCTCATCCAATGGTTCACTCCCAAATGCCTGCAAAAGCCAGGACTGGGCCAGGTCAAGGTTGGGAGCCAGGAAATCAATCTAAGTCTCTCATATGGGTGGCAGAGACCAAATTACTTGAGCCATCACCTGCTGCCTCCCAGAGTGAGCAGCAGAGTGAGCAGGCAGGTCCTGGAGGCTGTAGAGATGGCTCTGGTGACTGGGTCCCTGCCACCCATGGGACAGACCTGAACAGCAATCCCAGCTTCCACGGCGGCCCTGGCCCAGCCCCTGCCATTGTGGGCATTTAAAGAGTGAGCCAAGGCCAGTGCTGTGGCTCACTAGGCTAATCCTCTGCCTGTGGCGCCGGCACCCTGGGTTCTAGTCCTGGTCGGGGCGCCAGATTCTGTCCCGGTTGCTCCTCTTCCATTCCAGCTCTCTGCTGTGGCCCGGGAGTGCAGTGGAGGATGGCCCAAGTCCTTGGGCCCTGCGCCTGCATGGGAGACCAGAAGCACCTGGCTCCTGGCTTCGGATTAGCGCGGTGCGCCGGTCCGGGGCGGCCATTGGAGGGTGAACCAACGGAAAAGGAAGACCTTTCTCTCTCTCTCTCACTGTCCACTCTGCCTGTCAGAAAAAAAAAAAAAGATTTATCTATTAACTTGAAAGGCAGAGGTACAGAGAGGCGGAGAGAGAGAGGGGTCTTTCATCTTCTCCAAATGGCCACAATGGCTGGAGCTGAGCCAACCTGAAGCCAGAAGCCAGGAGGTTCTTCCAGGTCTACCACGTGGGTGCAGGGGCCCAACCAACAACCCAGACCATCTTTCTATTGCTTTCCCAGGCCACAGCGGAGAGCTGGATTGGAAGTGGAGCAGCCAGGACTCAAACCGGCGCCCAAATGGAATGCCAGCACTGCAGGCAGCAGCTTTACCTACTAAGCCACAGCGCTGGACCCAGAGTTTAAAAAATACTCTTGGGGCTGGTATTGTTTTATAGTGGGCAAAGCCACCACTTGTGACACCAGCATCCCACATCAGCATTTCTTGAAGTACCGGCTGCTCCATGTTTGCACCCGGGAAAGCAGTGCAAAGTAGCCCAAGTACTTGGGCCCCTGCCACACATGTGGGAGATCCCTGATGAAGCTCCTGGCTTCAGCCTGGCTCAGCCCCAGCCATTGTGGCCATTTGGAGGAGTGAACCAGTGTATAAAAGATGTCTTTCTCTGTCTTCCTCTCTTTTAAATAAATCGTAAGATTAAAAAAACCTATCATTTAATGTTCACATCAAGCCAATGGAGATTATATTTCTGCAAGAGAGGTTTAGAATAAGGAAACTACTTATTTAAGGTCATGCAGATATATGGTTTCTAATCAATGTAATTTCTTTTTTTTTCTTAAAAGATTTATTTATTTTATTTGAAAGTCAGAGTTACAAAGAGAGAGAGAGAGAGAGAAAAACAGACTGAGAGATCTTCCATCCTCTGTTTTACTTCCCAAATGGCTTCAATGGTTGCAACTGGCAGATTAAGCCAGGAGCCAGGAGATTATTCCCAGTCTCCCAGGTGGATGCAGGGGCCCAAACACTTGAGTCATCCTTCACAGCTTTCCGAGGCCATTAGCAGGGAGCTGGGTCAAAAGTGGACCAGAAGCAGAGGCCTAACTCAATACGCCACAGTGTCGGCCCCTAAGCAATGTAATTTCAAAGCTCACACCTTTCCCACTAAATCAACTTGCTGTATAAAGTGGAAGAAAATTCAATCTTTCTTTGGCACAGTCACCTACTCATCAAACAAAGAAATATTCCAAGAATATCTTTTTTTTTCCTTTTGTGTGAACAATTTAAAAAAAATTTCTGTTTTTATTTGAAAGAATTAGAGAGAGAGAGAGAAGGATCCTCCATTCACTGGTTCACTCCTCAAATGGGTGCAATGGCAGGAGCTGGGCCAGTCTGAAGCCAGAAGCCAGGAGCTTCACTCAGGTCGCTCGCATCCGTGCAAAGGCCCAAGCGCCTGGTCCATGTTCCACTGCTTTCCCAGGGGCACTGCAGGGAGCTGGATCGGAAGTGGAGCAGCCAGGACTTGAACCAGTGCTCAAATGGGATGTTGGCACTGCACGTGGCAGCTTTACCAGCTATACCACAGTGTCAGCCCTGAAAGAACAAGTATTGAATTTTGGACAAACTCTAACTTGTGTAATTAAATTTTCCCTCATTTAGGGACTCTGTTATGCTTAAACATACCTGAATCTGCACCTGCCATGAATGATCACCTTACTTCCCACAAGGTTCAATAGCTTGCCCTATAAATAAAGCAGAATTTAATCTAAATTTAATACAGTCTATGCCAATCAGAACCTAATCTGAATGATACTCGCGGTAGTTAACCATTACTTTGTTGAAAAGCAAGAATTAAAATATATAAAGCAGAGGCGCCAGTGCTGTGGTGTAGCGGGTAAAGCCACCACTTGCAATGTGGGCATCCCATATGGGGGCTGGTTTGAGTCCCAGCTGCTCCACTTCCGATCCAGCTCTCTGCTGTGGCCTGGGAAAGCAGTGGGAGATGGCTCAAGTCCTTGGGCCCTTGCACCCACATGGGAGACCCGGAAGAAGCTCCTGGCTCCTGGCTTTGGATTCCCACAGCTCTGGCTGTTGTGGCCATCTGGGGTGTGAACCAGCAGATGGAAGACTCCCTCTCTGCCTCTCCTTCTCTCAAGGTGTAACTCTGACTTTCAAGTAAATAAATAATTCTTTATATATATATTACATATATATATATATATAAAGCAAGACTGTCATAAATGCAAAGAACTTTAAAGATACAGAACTTAAACAGATGTGAGTATAATGAAACAAACATCTAAAAGTTATTTTCAGGCACTCAGGAAGCATTTGCTAAGATTTGCCACAGACCACAAAGAAAAAGTTCTAGTCAAAAAGAAGAAATTGAATAGAGTACATTCTGTAAACCTGATGCAATAGAATAAATGTAAATGGAAGTTTGGAACAGAGAAAATTTTTTTTGAGCCTGGAACTTAAAATAGGTACTCCTTAGCAGCTACTAAGTCAAAAAGAAAACTTTAAAATTTAATTGCCAGTGAGACTGGAAATGAGAATGTTATACCTTAAACATACATGGTCACTGGCAAAGTTTTAAGGAGACAATTTATATTCATAAATACTTTCAAGTAGGATTTTGGGAAAGAGTAAAACATCACACATTCAAAATAAAAAAAAGAAAAACACTTAACAAGGTAGCCAACTAAGAGGTAAAAATGATAAAGGAAGAAACTAATGAATTTTTAAAAAATCAAACAAAAAACAGGTGACAAAGCCAAGATCTGATTCTAAATAATGAAATCTACAAGCCATTGGCTAAAGCAGGAAAAACAAAAAACAGAAACGAGAGACTATAATAAACATTTTAAAACTGTGTGCCAATAAAAATAAACTTCCCAAAGGATAATTTGTTTAAAAATGTTCTGTGACTGGGGGCAGGTGCTTGGTGCTGCTTGGGAGGCCAGGGTCCCATATTTGAGAGCCTGGGTTTGGTCTCAGGTCCTGATTCCAGCTTCCTGCTGACGTGCAACCTAGCAGACAGCAGGTGGAAGACCTGGACTGAGTTCTGAGCTGCAGGCTTTGGCCTGGCCCAGCCGCAGGGCTGGCAGGCACCGGGGGGAGTGTCTGTCTTCCCTCCTTTTCCAATTAAATAGTTAGATCTGTAAAGATGACTAAAGTCTCACTTGGCAGCACACTCTGTAGATTATGCTTGTAAAATATGTTTCACTACCAGGCTGTGCAAATAGCACATTTAAAATTTTAGACGCATTAGACGTCATGCTGGTTAAAATTCAGTATTATTCGGCTTTCCATCAGCCGTATCAACACACCCACAGGAAGAAAAGGCCGCAGGTGACCCAGCCAAAACTCTCCTGAGACCTGCGCTCCATGGGGCTGTTTCCCACTCCTCCTGTTCTCTACGGTCCAGGTGGACAGTGAGAAGCGGCCACACAGTGCGGAACGAGCCTAAAGGAGGAGAAACTTCCTCGCTTGTCCAGACCCCAAGTCGGTGCGGCCGTCTAAGAGCGACGAAGGGCCCCGCGTTCCCGAAGCAGCAGGCCGCTGTCAGCTCAGGGGGGCGACAGGTGATGTCCACGTGATTCTCCGAGACGCCCCCCACACGGGCCGCGAGGAAGAGCGGCGCAGGCTGCCCAACGGGAAGCCCAGGTCCACCCGCCGGCCTCGCCCTCTCTCCCTAACCCGCTCCGGGTTCCCCTCCGGGAAGGGCCAGCCCCAGCCCAGGCCCCGCGTCCGGAGCCCGGCAGGACCCCCGACCCCGGAGAGGGGGCTCGGACCCGGGAGCGCGGGGCGCCCAGGGCGAGGGGTGCCCGGGCGGAGCCGGAGCTGGCGCCCGGGGAGCGGCCCAGCCCCATCATCTCCCTCACAGGTGGGCGGGCCCGGTCCGCCCCGGGACAGGGGCGCCGGAGCCAACGGCCACGCCCCGGACGCCGCCGCGAGCCCAGCGCCGAGGGAGGGGCGGAGGACGACCGAGGCCTGGCGCCCGGGGCTTCGACTACCTGGCGGCCGCACAGAGGGCGACCGAAGACGCTCGCAGAGCAGGGCGGGAACGCTTCCAGCAATGGCGCCGACTCGGCGGGCGGAATGCCAAGCGAGCCACTGCGCCTGCGTCAACGCGGCGCCGGAACTACAATGCCCAGAATCCTCCGCACGTGTGGCTCCGCCCCCTTACGTCGGCCTTTGTGAGGGAGTTGACTTTTTTAATTTAATTAATTTTTAAATTATCTTTATATACAGAAGATCAATTTTGCATATATTAAGTAAAGATTTCCACAGTTTACACCCACACAGAAACACAAAGTATAAAATAGTATTTGAGTATTAATTATAGCATTAATTAAACATCTAAGAGTAATTGTGTATTAATTACAGAGTTCAACCAATAGTTTTAAGTAGAACATAAAAATACTAAAAGGGTAAAGTATTAAGTTCCTTTTTTTCTTTTTCTTTTCTTTGTTATATAGTTGTTTTTTTTTATTTAATAAATGTGAATTTACAAAGTGCAACTTTTGTATTGTTGTGGCTCCCCCCACCCCAACCTCCCTCCCTCCCTCCCGTAGCCCTCCCCTCTCCCACTCCCTCTCCCATCCCGCCCTTCATTGAGTTTCATTTTCAATTACCTTCATATACTGAAGATCAACTTAGTATATATTAAGCAAGGATTTCAACAGGCTGCACTCACACAACCGCACAAGGTATAGGGTATTGTTCGACTAGTAGTGTTGTTTTTAAGTTTCATAGTAGATCACATTAAGGACAGAGATCCTACGTGGGGAGCATGAACCCAGTGACTCCCGTTGTTGATTTAACAATTGGTACTCTTATTTATGCTGTCAGCAATCACCCGAGACTCTTGCTATAAGCTGTCTAGGCTATGGAAGCCCCTTGAGTTCACCGACTCTGAACTTGTTTAGTCAAGGCTGTATCACAGTGGAGGTTCCTTCCTCCCTTCAGAGAAAGGTGCCTCTCTCCTTGATGGCCTGTTCCTTCTGCTGGGGTCTTGTTCACCAGGATCTTTCATTTAGATTTTTTTTTTTTTTTTTTTTTTTTTTTTTTGCCACTGTGTCATGGCTTTCCATGCCTGTGAGACTCTCATGGACCTTTTAGCCAGATCTGAATGTCCCAAGGGTTGATTCTGAGGCAGGAGTGCTGCCATTCTATGAGTCTGCTGTGTGTCCTGTTTTCCCCGCAGGATCATTCTCTCCCTTTTAATTCTATCCTTCATTATTTGCTTACACTGGTCTTATTTGTGAAATCTCATTGACACATACCCTTTTTGATCAGTTGTGTATTTATACTTATCACTTTACCAAGTGCGCTAGCATTGGTACCTGCCTCCTTGGTAAGATTGAGTTGACTGTGTTTAACCCTGCTCTTTAGGGGACCTCTGTAATTCAGCCGAACACCCTGTTCTCTGATCGTCAGAGGCTGAGTGGGCAACCCAGACTTCCACCCTTGTCAGAGGCTGAGTGGGCAACCTAGACTTCCACCCTCACCTGACTGTGGAACAGATCAGTTACTGCAGGGGTGATGTCAGCGTGTGCAAAGCCTAGACACCTGCTGGTACTGTACCTCCCCTCAGTCTCAACTGGAGCCCTGTGGGAAGCAGGAGTGATGAGCTTCCTCCACTCACAGCCAAGGTGTTATCAGCGGTGGCCAACCAGGGCGCCTGGAATATTCTCTCTGCTCAACACTAACAAGGTACTCCCCCTCCCCAAAGTTGCCTAGGGAGGCTGGGTTGAGAACTTGGAATTCCACTCTCAGCCAAAACCAGGTAACTGACTTTCTTACCCACCAGGCTGGTGCCAGGTGAGGCTGGCTTGCTATAAACCCAAGGTTTAAGTAACACCCAGGTTACCATAATACTCAAAGTGTACCAAATTTGGCAAAAGACATGAATCCACAAGTTCAAGAAGGTAAGAAAATGCCCAGTAAGATAACACACAAAGAAATCCACGCTGAAAGATAATAACCCCAGAGAATGCAAGACAAACCCTGAAAACATTGAGAGGAGACAACGCCATGTAAGTAACAGCAACAACACGTTCAAATACCGGTGGATTTCTCATGAGGAAGCTGGGAGGCCAAAAGGAAGTGGAACATTTTTCAAGCACTGAAGAAAACAACTGTCAACTCAGAATTCTCTATTAAAATTCACATAGGATTTTTCTATGAAAATATACATAGGAATCAAAGCATTCTCAGGTAATGGAAAACGAAGATAATTTATCATGGGCAGATCTACTCTAAAAGAATGGCCAAAAAATTGGGGTTACAAGTAAAAAATTTCAGTCATAGGAATCTGAGAAAATTCATTACCAGCTGTGAGAGGCAAAATAATATCCTCCCAAAGATGTTCACGTCCTAATCCATGGAATTCAGAAAAGGAGCTTGGCAGATGTAATTCAATTAAGATTCGATTAAGAAGGGGAGAGTGCACCAGCTTATCCAGGTGCACACAATACAGCTATCATATGGCCCTTTATGGTGGAGATCCTCCCTTCGCTGTGGTCAGAGTGGGGTGCAACTACAGGAGAATGGCACAGGGGCTGGTGTTGTGGCCAAGCAAGTCAAGTCGATGCTTATGATGTTGACATCCCAGGCTGGAGTGCTGGTTCCATTCCTGACTGTTTTCCTACCCAGCTTCCCATGAATGAGCCTGAAAAGGCAGCAGACGATGGCCCAAGTACCCTGCCACCAATGTGGGAGATCAGGATGGAGTTCCAGGCTTGGGCTGGCCTAGACTTGCCTGTTGTAGTCTTTTGGGGGAGTGAACCAATGGATGGAAGAGCTCTTTCTTTCTCTATCACTTTGCCTTTCAAATAGATATATCTTTAAAAAAGAGGAAAGCACAGAGCAGCACAATGATTTTTAAAATCAATTTATTTGAGAGGCAGAGAGAGACATAGAGAGGGGTCCCATCTGCTGGCTCATTCCACAAATACAATCACTCTGCCTCCCAGGGTCTGCTTTAGCAGGACACTGGAATCAGGAGCCATAGCTGAGAACTGAACTGACAGAGTTTACAGAGAGAGGAGGGAGGGAGAGAGAGAGAGAATCTTCTATCCACTGGTTCTCTCTCCAAATGGCTGCAATGCCTGAGTTTGGGCTGCTTTAAAGCCAGGAACCAAGTGCTTCATGTGGGTGGCAGGGGCCTCAGGATTTGGGCCATCTTCCACTGCTTTCCCAGGCACATTAGTGGAGAGCTGGATTGGAAGTGGAACAGCCAGAACATGAACCGGTGCCTGTATGGGAGCCAGCATCGCAAGTGGCAGCTTTACCCACTATGCCACAACACCAGCCCCCTTAACCAGAATATTAACTGCTAGGCTGAATACCTTCCCCAAGAATGGTGGTTTGCTCCCCAAATAGCCAGGATGGCTGGGCCATCCCAGAGCCAGGAGCCTGAAACTCCATCTGTGTCTCCCACGTGCGTGGTAGGCCCAAATACTTGGAGCATCTTCTGTTGCTTTCCCAGCCTCATTAGGAGGGAGCTGGGTGGGAAGCAGAGCAGCTGGGACTCAAACCAGCCCTTTGATGTGGGATACTGGTGTTACAGGTGTCCGCTTAACCCACTGTGCCACAATGCCGACCCCAGAGGAGGATTTTAAATGAGTTTTGTTCCTTGTTGGAATAGCACACACATTATAAAAACTTAATCCACAGTATCTGAGTTTTCACAGATCTTCAACTGCAGCTCCGTATTTTGTACACTTTCTGGCAGGTTCTGAGTTTTTGTTTTAGATGGAATAGCACAGGAAATCTTTCAACTTAGTGCTTTGGCTACTCATTTTCCTCAGAATGGTCATTACTTTGACTTATTTATCCTTCCCAAAAGCTGTGTGATGTGTGTGCTGCTGTTCTGAACAAGTGATTCTTGTTTCTTTTGTTTCTGGTGTAAGATTATATAATTTAATATAATAAATGCATAAACGAACAAATGTGACTTCTTTAGGTGTTTTTCAATGGCACCCTCCGGTATCAATTAACATGTTGGGAAAACCAGACATAGTTCCTGGTGCAGCCATAGTGCCTGCTGCCAATTGGTTTCACTCAAGTCCATTGACAATGTGTATTTCCTTGTGCTTTACAGGAAATTATTTTGGGGGATGGAGTTTATTGAGAGAGAGAGAGCAAGCACTAAGTCAGAAGATGACCCCAGCTTCAGGTGGAAAGCTCCCTTTGTGGGAGGAAATGCTTTCTGAGAAATTGACAAGTACCTCTGCATGTTGCCATTATGAAATCTGTACTCTTATGCAGATGGAAGATCTCTCTTTCTCTCTGCTTTTCAAATAAAATGAGAACAAAAATCAAGTTTAAAAAAGTTTGGAGACCTTCCCCTTTCGAAGGAGAATTGCTTTTTATTATATATGTAGTAGTGTATGTGTTTTGATATGCCACTGTTTGAACCTCCTTCTTGAAAGATTCTCAGATATGCTGATATTAGATGTTCAGTGTGTTAGAGACAAAGCAATCAGAAAAAATATAATTTTTTTCCTGGGGTAAGATCAAAATGCTAATTTTTGGTTTATTGTGTAAGGCTAAGAATATTTTTGTCTGAGTTTTTTTCTGTTCTTTACTGAAAACAGTTTAATATTCATTTGGCCAAGAAAAGGGGGAAAATGTGAGAACTCTCCTTGATAAGTATATTACTTCACATTGTGGCCTTTTAAGAGTTCTGAGAGGGGCTGGTGCTGTGGCGTAGTGGGTTAAGCCACCGTCTGCAATGCTGGCATCCCATATAGGCTCCAGTTTGAGTCTCAGAGCTTCACTTCTAATCCAGCTTCCTACTAATGTGCCTGGGAAAGCAGTGGAAGATGGCCCAAGAGCTTGGACCCCTGCACTCATGTGGGAGACCTAGATGAAGCTCCTGGCTTTGGCCTGGCCAGCTCTAGCTGTTATGGTCATCTAGGGAGTGAATGGAAGATCTCTCTTTCTGTCTCTCCCTCTGCCTCTCTGTAATGCTGCCTTTGAAATAATTAAAATCTTGG